AGTATACGGTTTTTTATAGGTAGACAAACTTATGTGAAATCTTTTATTAACATTTTTAATCTTGGGCCTTAACTGTGAAAAGAAAATATTTTATGAATTGCCAATGAAAAATAATTAAAAATATTTGAAAAATTTCTCAGTTATAAATACCTCAAAAAGAGTCAAAATTGTTTAAACATTTTGCCATGTAAGGAAAATTTTAATTTTAACATTTGATAAAAATGTCAAGTATCTATACTAGGACAATATAATATCAAAAATTGGTAGATGAAATTTCGTTAATTTACTGATAAAAATTGAAAGTTCAATGTTGTACACATTTTAGATTCAAACGCTCATAAAAAAAGTATGTTACTTTCCAGTAAACTTTTTTTTTTTTATTTAAGATAGTACCAATTGTGAGGAGTCTTCTATCAACATTTATAATGTTGGCTATGAAAGGAAAAACTTTTATAAATTTCTAACAGAAAATTTACAAAAAAATTTGAAGAATTCTAAATTCTAATATTTGATATAGGTACAATATAATCATTACAAACAATAATTTGTGTTTCTGCTAAAAACGAAGAAATAAAAAAAAAAACATTAAGTTAAGCTAAAAAAAACTATTTTTTTCATATGATTTTTCAATTTTCGCTGTTTTGGAACTGGGGGTGCTAAATTAAAGTTTGGGGGTGCTGAAGCACCCCCAAGCACCCCCCTAGTTGCGCCTATGCTCTAGACCAAACAACAGAACACTCGCAGTTCTACAATGGTCAATGACCAAAATCTACTAACGCCGGGAACCTTGTTAACACAGCCAAACAAATTATTACAGTCCACTCAAAGCTGTACAGCTGGTCGGAATCGATCATCAATACTATATTCTATTGAAAAGTTTAATTACTAATACCGGGTTTCATAAGAAATTGATTAATTTATAACAGTTCACTAAAATTGTTAAAATTTATCAATACATCATGTTTAAGTATACTAAGTATAAGGTCTATGCTTAAAGGATTATTAAGTCATTATTAATTCATTATATTTTTAGTTTATGTACAGTGAAAATTCGTGCAATAATGATAATTCTTAACATTATGGACCATCTATAGACCCTTTGTTACCATTTACTAATAACCAATTATTTACACTATTATACACAATATATAGTTTAGGTCTCCGTGCTAATCTGGTTTTAATTCCAATTTCCAATGTCTTTTGAGTTTTGATACCACTGTTGGCTGTTGCAGTATTTTCCTTTTTATGTTGTTCACGAGTCTGTTTTGACTACCTATACTATATATTATTATTATCTACCTACTCCAATCTTGCATAGTTGCACCTCTCATAAATCTTGATTGTTACTACCTATACACCTACTTCCTTTTCCGTTTCTATAGAATTGCTTCAGCTGTACATCTGGTATTTTAGTCTTCTCTCCCAGACGGTCAGACTAGACCATCAATTGTCCTTAATAATCTTCATTTAAAGATATTTAGTCTATATAGATTTAAGTTCTATATACTCATCTGTCATTTCCTGTTGTTGTAGCCCAAGTATGTACCTATAATATACGCATTCGAGACAAGACACATAATTGGTCTGAAACTCTTAAATACGTATAGTAGATACCAATATAGCTTTTCTTTGGTTTTACTATAGAGTACTAGACAATACCTAATATAAATAAATAAATTATAAAATATACTTAGTAATAATAGAGCCAATAGAGGCTGATACACCATCTCTGCACAAAATTACTTTTCGTATAATATAATGATTTATCATATTGAAGTCACTGAACTAAATACATGGAACGCGTGTATTAATGAAAATATGAGCCGGATAGAAAGTCGCCATATGCATTCCGAGTCATGGCAGAGATAATGAAATGTCCATGAAAATTGTTTATCATATATTATATATATTCATGTTTTACCGCTTTAATTTAAGTTTTATCATGCGAAACGTACATGTTGAATGTTGATATTACTCTTGATATTACTACGATAATTGCTTTTAATTTATAATAGTATTATGAATATCTAACATCTAGGCTAGAATAAATATATATAAACTGTATTCTATTATTTAATAAGTTATTATCAGTTGAATATTATTGTTATATTTAAATAGAGAGTACTACTTAAGTTACTTATATTTTGAGCTTTCATATTGATAATTATTCAATTTATGATGGTTCGTAAATGTTGTGTTTGCTCACAAGCTAATCAAAAAGGTATTAGCATGTTTAGGTAAATCACTTAGTTAAATATGCAAAAATTATATATTAATGCAGAAAAACACATTATATACTTTTATAATAGAGTTCCTCTATCTGATCCTGCTCGTACGAAATGGTTTGAAATAATTGGTGTTAAGGAATCTATACCAAATAAGTTGTATTTTGTGTGTGAAAATCACTTTGAAGAAAATGATATTCAAAATCCAAATTCATACACAAAAAAACTAAAATTAACTGCATTTCCAATGCGTTTGTTGGTAAACAAATAATACTTTAAAATGCATTACATTTATGGCTTTTAATTAGACTAAAATTAATTAAAAATACATTTAATATAATATATAGGAAAATGAACTAAGTGCTGTAATAACTCCAGACATTGATAGTGAAGAATTAAAGTTGAACTCAAACCAGTTATCTCTTAGTAGAAGTTTTATTACATCACCTGGCATTAATAATGATGAATCAGTTAATGAGTTAGTACAACAGGTATTAAATGTATAGATATTTTTATTAATATAAAATTAGGATTATTATGACTGCAATGAAAATAGTATTATGTTAACACCAAAAAGAATTAATGAACAGCAATTAAATATTTTACAGGTACCTATGAAATATATCTACCGACTATCTAATAAATTATTTATTTTAACCTAACTATTATGGAAGCAATTTTAAATTTAAATTATTGCATTATATTGTTATTTTTTAGTCACCGGACTTCAATAGTAGTGTATGTTCTATTTATGATACAAGAAAATATTTGCTAAGTTTAAAAAGATATTATGAAAATAAAATTGCTGAAATTTTGGTAAAAAAAGCTGAATTACCGATTGATTGCTCTTGCCTCTTGTGACAACAATGAAACAACTAACCATCTACAAACTATTGTCCAACCATTATGTGGTTAGTTAAATAATTAATCTTAAATTCTTAAAGCTTTTAAAATATATTTATTGTTGATTATAATAATATATTAATTTGTTTATTAGAGTTGACTCCTAGAAGTAAGACAAGACGAGACATTTTGTTAGACCATTCATATGAGTGTTCACCTAGTAAAATTAGGAAAAAGTTTAAATCCACAACTGAAAAACAACATATGACAAAATTGATGACTAAAAATGCTATACAAAAATCAAAACGAAATATAACACAAGTTAAAAAAGATATGATAGGTAAAAATAAAAGGAAAGTACTGTCAAGGTTAGCAATTTTTCAAAATGTGTAAAAAAATAGTTATGTACTGTAAAATGGCAATTGCGTTATGTAAATACCTATTAACTAGGATTAAATTAAGAACACTTAAGTGAGTACTGAGTAGTTAAAATGATAATTAAAACTTAAAACATGCTTAATATGAATATAATTATTATTTATTATGATTTTATACTAATTATGTTATCTCCGAAAAAGATTATTGTTTTTATCACTAGTTGAAGTTGGTTACAATCAATGTGAAAAATCAAACGGAATGCATATGGCGGCGCACGTATCGGCTCATTTTTCATATAGAGAATTATACACAATACGCGTTCCATGTATTTAGTTCAGTGATTGAAGTATTGAATTAAAATTTTAAACATCTGTTATACAACAATTTTGCTAACGAGATTCGCTCAAAACTATACAGCAGAAAGACTCCCCCGGTTATTTATAGTCGGCATTTTTATCAAATGTTTTCCTATACATCCTAACCAGGCCCCCACATCAAATTTTGGGCCTCTGTACTAAATGTTTTTGCGGGCCCTATAAAATATTATTTAATATAAAATGAGTATTCCAAAAATTACAAATTCATTTCAACGGGCCCCTGAACTCCAGGTCCAACAGCCCCCATTTTTGGGGGCCCTAATCCTAACTATGATTTTTTTACACTCTTTAAGCTACCTATTTATACATCTTCAAAATTGTCGATTATTTCTAGTTATGCTTGGCCAAAAAGCTTAAAAATGTATTACAAAATTCCATGTAACTAGTTATTCTTATAGATATTTAAAAAAAAAATTAAATTCGTAGGCACGACATTGTTTTGTAAGCAGCGTTTGAAGTTGAGATTTTTACGAAATTAGATATTTAATTGAAGAATAACGATTTTAGTTATTTTGTTGTAATCTTTTACGTAGGTATATTATAGGTATATTTATAATATATACAATATTTTATTATATTGCATATTATTTTATACTACGAGTTACGACCCTATTCATACCGTTCTACTTACGGTAGGTAATGACTCAAAAGTTAATAACAATAATATATTATGATATAAAATATAAATAAACTATTATAATTTATGATGATAAATACATATAGGTAATATGATGTTTTCGGTAAAAATTAATTTAACCTACCTACCATACTATACTAATTGTTAAATAAATTGCAACATAAGTATATCAATATCATAGGTAAAATACTAAATTAATATACTATTAGTAATATAGACGCTCAGATTGTTTTCGCAATAGGTATATAATAAATAATAGACAACCTCAATATTGCAGATGATTATATTATAGGTCAGAGCTGTATTATAATATTATATTATGTAGGTATCTATTTAATTGTACCTACTTTCGTTATTATTTATAATTTTATATTTTTATCATTGGATAGTAAATTAAAGTAAGCGTTTGTGATAAATCGTTAATAATAAATTATAATAATTGTGTTGTACATATAGTAACCAGTTGATTCGCTGTTGATTAAAATATATGGTGATGAGTGATGATGATAATATTATTGCGTTAGAAAACAGTGTTCAGTCATGTTTCGCCGTTTAAATTGCTTGCGCAGGACGCAGCGCTTTTATTCGTTAAATGTATCTAATTCTGTGTTTGGTCGCGAATCATTTGTTCAGCGACATATCGGACCTAATGACTCCGACCAAAAGCAGATGCTAAAAGAACTTGGATATCAGGTACGTTTCGGATGTACATAAAAAGTGTAGCATATAGCTCATAGAAAAGTAGATCCAATACCATATTTTTGGAAATAAGTATATCTACTTTCTGTCTCAAACTAAAAAAAAAATATTATTATTTTTATGTTGTGGACTGTGGTCTACTTTTATTATAACTTAGTAGTTATTTGATTTTCGTTAAGTCGTTTAAGTATGTCTATTGACCATTGTTACATTGTTTTACCTATTTTAAAAATACAATAATTTACGCTATTTTTATACGTATCATTTTATTTTTTTTATTCAACTACAACTTAAATTATATGAATTCGTAATATATATTTTATAATTATGTATTATTTTATGATAAAATTTAATTTCGTATGGATTGTCAACAATTACTAAAATAACAATACCTACCGCCTTTAAGACGTAAATATCAAATTAATATAAGTTTAACTTGTCGTTTACCTTTGCAAACGAATTTCTTTAAATATTAAAGGAAGGTAATTGGTAATATAATATATAAGCGCACCTATATTATATTTGCATCTGAAAACTTTTTTTCAAAAGTAATCGTGCTTATTATTGTTTCTACCGTGTACTATATATATAAGTATCCATACTTACCTACTTTTTTATCACAATCAACTCGTATAGAGTTTTCTTCAAATATGATAGGTTCCCTAATTTATTATTAAACTGAAACACAGTTATAATGAAAACATAATGATTTCCTTTACTTTCAATATTATATTTTAAACATTATTTACTGATTATAAGTACATATAAGACTTATAGACCTATAAAAAGACTTAGAGGAAAATCATAAATACTGCATATTATTATAAATTTGGTCAACCACAGATAATTAAAATACAGTTTAATATTGTTTTATATTACCAGCTATGTTCAATTCAATTTTGATATTTTCGAAACATGTTGAGTAAATTGGTTTATTATAAAATTATGAATCAGAATATAATTTTGATCTGATTTTTGATATTGGTATATATTTTAATCATAAGTGAGAAATAAACAATAAGTAGGTAATTTTAAATGTTACGTAATTAAATTTTTTGAGTAGATTATTCACTTTGTTTCATTATTATTAAGTGATGTCACTCATGTGTTGTGAGTTATGGATAATAACAGCCAACCATTTTAGTGGTAGGTACCTACTGTCGTGATGGACTTGAGTTATTATGATATGTTAATTAAGTACTTTTATTTTTTTAATAATTCATTGAACCTATATGTATAGTAAATCACGACAACAGGTTACTTTTAAGCCACGGCGTGGGTTAGATATCTGTTATGAATTGGACGTATCTAACTATTTAAGATTAAAATAACCATCATCATGTTTATGGTTTTTATACATTGTTATTTTTATTATTATCGTACAAATAGTAATTTAATTCGTGTGTAAGTACCTATAGAATTTGATAAATGGATAGATGTCTCGTAAAACAGTATCAGTGGAATGACCACAAACATATTCAATTCACGTGTTTACACAAAGATGTAACTCATAATTTGAACACCAGCTAAGCTGTTCCGTGTGTAGTACACGACAACTACTGCCTGAACAGTGAACATACCAATAAAGTATAGGACCTACTAATATATAGATTATAGGTACCTCCGTGTTATATTACAGTCGGAATAATTTAATTGCTTTAATCAAACACCTGTAAAATAGTCATTCTTACCTATTTTATCCTTATTCAAGCTCGAGTAGGATAAATAGGATTTTTACCTTGTACCTTGAAAATAAAATTGTTAAACTCATATGGACCATAAATTGGTATTTTCAGAGTTTAGAAGACTTGAGCGAGGCCGTGATCCCAGATAGCGTTTATCTCCAGAAGACGCCTAATTTAAAATCGTCAGTTATTATAGGTATGTTACGTATTGTATCAAACAATTGATAACCTTTTGTTTATGCAGGAACATACATTTTTTGTTAATGAATATAATTATGCATTCGTATAATTTACGCATACCTATTAAATGCAATTTGTAAAATATAGACTAAAACAATTTGTTTTATTTTAATAAAAACCACTCCGCATTATGCCAATGCTATCACGTGATTTATAATCACCAGGTAGTTACAACAATTTAAGTTATAACAATTTGTATTATTATTTATTTTAATTGTTTCTTTGTTTCTTTTGTTAGTGATTAATATGTAGTGAACAATACCACAATGTGTACACTGTACATATTATATAATAAATTACAACATGAATTTATCAACCTATTACAATTATAATAAAATAATTATAATCTGAGTTCAAAGTAAACTATGAAGTTCAAAAATAATATATTATATTTTTAAATATAAACATTATATTGTACATGTCAGTGGCGTTGAAGTACCATAGCTGATGTGTACATTATTATTTATTACAATACATATTACTATTATTTTCGATTCCGAACGGAGCGATGAATGTATTGGTTTTACAAATATTACAGTAATACCGATGTGGTTTTTTTTATTTGTTATTAGTCATCACTCATCGCCTTTTAGGGAGCAGTCAAAATGCTTCAATCTTATAAACTTAAATATCTTTTCTAAAAGCTATGCGATAATAGTTAGTATCAAAATTAAAAAATTTTAGGATTTTTCTTAATAATTGGGAAAAACACAAAAAAAAAATAGAGATAATGGGAACTTGTACGAAAAATTAGTTTTCGACAAAATCGATTTTGTTATTTTGCTGTAATTCAAGTATGATTAATTTAGTTACCTACTGAAAATGCTTGCACAATGTTTAGGTATATTAGAATTATCTATTCATGGTATGATTTAAATAAATATATGCAAACATTTTTTTTTTCCATAAATGTCAATCATAAAATCTACGCTCGGTCAAAATGCTTAAAAATGTAATACTAGATTTCTCTAAAGTTTGTTTTACTGGAATTAATATCATATTATTTATATGTGATTTTTTTTGGCCAAAACCGGTTCAACCTACCATATTACACTATTATACTATTAGTAAAATTAATTACTAATAGCAATATATTATATAATTGTATTATAAAGTATCCTTAGGAAAATAGGTAGGCGAACAGACAGTGACATAATTTCTGTTTATATGGTGGGCAAAAGTTTCGACCAGGCTATTTAACTGAAAAGAAACCGGTCAATTCGCTGGCAAGCTTTTATTTCCACTTACAGATTTGTATTTCATTACGATAATACAATTCCCATCTTAAATGATTTTTAATGTAGGTATTGTAGACAAAAAAAAAACGTCGGGTCTTAATAAATATATGCGGTACCTACCTCAACGACGTAATTTGAGATTTTTTTGTAGAATGGTCGAACAAATTGAAATACTAACGCAATTGTTTAAATCTAAATGAAAAAGTGTAACATTTAAAAAATTACCAGAGCTTTTTTTAGAATTCACTGATAACATAATATTTTAAGAGTGGTTGTTTTGCTTTTAGAATTTGTATTGTGTGTGCAGTTGATATATACTAGCATTGGAATGAAAAATAATAATTTTAGAAATAAAATTATATGGGCCCTATATAGCTATGCGTTTTGGCGAGTCTGGTTGAAACAGACATCTCTTTGTGATTGGATGGGAAAGAAATCGACTAGGGCCCATGGGTCGTCAACCTGCGGCTTGCCAAAACATATTATATTATAGTGTGGCAATTATAATAAAATACACGGTCTTGACTCCAGTTTTTTCCCTCATATTTTATATTTTAACTACCAACTATAATCGTTAACATAATTATTTATAAAAAATTCGACGATGAGTATACCTATGCTAAATAAACACATTATTTGTAATGAACTAAATGTATACATGTATACATATATAAATATATGACACCCCGTGTATACCTTCCGTTTAATACCTAAATATTATTATTTATTAGGTAGTGCTTGAATTGTCGTAGCATGTAGCCATGTAGGACGTGAGAGAACCTCTGACGAGAGGGTCCCTCTTCTTTTTTCCAAAAATATTTTAGGGTACTCTTTTTAATTATATTCTAATCAATAACTCAAATAAGTAATTTTAAATATTCAGATAAGTACATTTTTTTTTTTTAAATTTTGCATCCACATTCCAATCTTTTTCTAATTAAAGCACTGTTTATTTATTACCTACCCACTTAAAACAAAAATTATAAAATAAATCTACACGCTGAATGCTAATAAATAAATACATTTTACAGATGAACAATCTCTAGCCACCTTGATAAAATCGATTGCAAGTAAAAATCAAATATGGAGAAGTTTCATTGGGATGGGTTACCACAACTGTCACACACCTCATGTCATCGTGAGAAACATGCTGGAGAATCCTGGATGGTATGCTTATTATTTTCATTAATATTTTCATTCTATATTTTGTATATGCATTTGTGCTTACTATAGTTACTTTATCATTATTGATGCCTATAAGAATAATCATATAGGCACACATATTCAACATGAAATTTAATATAATTTCTAGGGAACTTGAGATTTTTAAGTTTACATACATATTTGATATTATTACACTTAGGTATCTAAAGGCTACAAACTCAACCAACAATTACATTTAAAATGAATAGCAAAAAAGTACGCAAAAAAAAAAATAACTATCTTATAATTTGGCAGCGTCCTAATTAGCCATCAGGGTATGGTTAGGTGCACCTAAGTGCACTTTCCCTATACACCCCCTCCATAGTAAGGCCCTTTAACCGTTTTACAAGTATGTTACTATAAAGCTAATTCAATATTTTATAAAATGTGCCTGTTGTGCAATATAGGTTGACGCCTTATACCCCTTACCAAGAAGAAATCGGTCAGGGTCGATTAGAGAGTCTACTGAACTTCCAGACATTGGTTGTCGACCTTACGTGTATGGACGTAGCCAACGCGTCTCTGTTGGACGAAGCCACGTCGGCGTCCGAAGCGCTGGCGATGACGTACCGGCATAACAAACGCAAACGTTGGTTCGTTGCAGACAACGTACACCCCCAGACGTTGTCGGTTGTGAGAACGAGAGCCTCTGCCCTCGGCATCGATGTCCAATCCGGCGATCCGAACCAAGTGGACGACTTTAAATCGTATAGCGGAGTGTTATTACAGTACCCAGACACGTATGGTCATTTATCGGATTACGGAGAGATTGTAAATAAGGCTCACAATGACGAGGTTCGTATATACTATACTATAAGGCAGTGTTTCCCAACCTTTTTGTTACAGTGATTAGTGACTAATACTTGGGTAGGCGATCCCCGTTTTACTTTTACTTTTAATAAGTAGCATGCTATAATAATAATAATATAATAATTTTTTATTTCGGGAACATTTTCGTCAGGATCTAATAAATTCAGGAAAATATTTGTCAGGAATAATTTTATGATGAGAACTAATATTAGCTAGATAGGAAAATAATATTTGGGGAAATAATTACACACGAAAATAAAATCAGGAAAATATTACCCAAGAAAATAATCGACGGAAATTTAAATATTATAGGAAATATTTACACGGGAATGTAATATTCAGGAATAATTTCCTGTATAGAATATTTTCCTGGTTTTTAAATTCCTATGAACTAATTTCACAAATTTTATTTTAATAATTAACTTATAGTAGTTCTGAGCCAACTTAAATATCTCGATACTAGATGTTTTTCTTCCGCAGGAAAAATTGAGGAATCATAGATTTAGCTTTGGGTATAATGCAGTGGAAAAATATCTTTTTATTGTTATTTTGTGTTTCTATGTCAATAAAAAAGCGTAACTCCGAAATTGGTTACAAAAAAAGAATTGTATTAAACCCGGCCCCCTTATCGATAAATCCTTACTACGCCACTAAGTACATTACACAAAGTGTCAAAGCCACAAAGGAAATCAATTAAAAAATTATCATTTAGGATATATACTAATATACTATATACACATTAAAATAGTATTAAGATTTCACAAGATAGACTTCTATAACTGACAATAAATTCAAGAATACTCAATATTAATAATATTTATAGAAGATTTAATAGAAAGGTTACCCAATCCAAGTGTACTGTAGTAATTTAGTTGGTTACAATGAACTATTTAGTGATAACTATAAATTACACTGTATTTACTATTTACAATAGTAGGTAATATTTTTGAAAATAAGGGGGGAAATATTTTAAACCGCCGAACATCCGTGATAGTGCTATTTAGTATTTACCGAAACGGTAAACTGAAAATACCACATAATTTAAAACTATTTATATACAATACTTGTACCTATTTGAATTTTGCATAGACCTATTATGTATTAACTATTAAGTGTTGATATTTGATACTCTTAAACTCTATATGTATTCATCCACCGGTTAATCGGTAATTTCCGATTCTTTAATATTTATCGGGGAGGTATAGATATACCTATATATACAAAGTGTTACACGATAAATGTGTCAAACTTCTGGAGGTGTTTCTACACCTCAAATGGAACAAAAAAAAGTACTTGTGAGTTGTGACCATAATCGAACTATCAATAATAAGGGTGATAATTTCCATGTTTGTGTTTTTTTGTTTGATTCATTATAATGTTCATATATCTGCTAAACCGTAGGTACTACAATTAACTTGAATACATTGATGAAAAGCTCATGAAATTGGGATTAGGAAAACATATCTTACAAGGTTCCCACCTGATTTTTTGTGTAAAAAGAATGACACACATTTTTTATAACTTTAAAATGTCGAAATTTAAAAAAAATCAGTTTACCAGGTTTTGTATTTATTGCTTAGAATTTGTTTACGTTTTTTCCGGTTTTTCCACACATTAGGTGGAATAGGAGCCCTTCAGAAAGGTTTAACGAAGATCTAAAATCGAGTACACTGTTGAAACGCTTATAACATTTTGAAGTTTTTTTGAAATTTGCACCCACCTGCTTTAAAAAAAAATTGTTGTAGAATAAAACTGAATTTTTTTAAAAATTTCGACATTTTAAAGTTATAAAAAATGTGTGTTATTCTTTTTACCCAAAATTCAGGTGAGAATCTTGTAAGATATGTTTTCCTAATCCCAATTTCATGAACTTTTCATCAATGTATTCAAATTAATTGTAGTACCTATGGTTTAGTAGATATGACCATTATTATGAATCAAACTTGCTTTTAACAAAAAAACACAAACATGGAAATTATCAACCTTATTATTGATAATTCGATTATGGTCACAAGGACTTTTTTTGTTCCATTTGAGGTGTAGAAACACCTCTAGAAGTTTGACACATCTATCGTGCAACACTCTGTATACGGTACCGCTACTGTTTACCTTAAAAATCCGGGTTTCCACTACAGTAGAGCTGAACTCTACACGTGGCTTAATTTAATACTGTTGTGATGGTAACTACAATTTAAAATACCAGCTTACCGGTTAATTGGTACACTGAATATAACTGGTATACACGGCGTATACAACTACTACCGTGGAATACCGGTGGATGAATTTCATTATTATTAATTTCACATATACCGCCAGCTCTATAATCATTTATATCATAGACCTTAGTCGTGTGTGCCACGGACTTGTTGTCGCTTACTTTGATCAAAGCCCCCGGTGAATACGGCGTAGACATTGTCGTCGGAAGTAGCCAGCGACTCGGCACCCCGCTCGGATATGGAGGACCACACGCCGCGTTTATCGCATGCAAAAAACCTCTGATGAGACTGATACCAGGAAGGATGGTCGGTATCACAAGGTAGGTAACACCACCGATTTGGCCGTTTTCTATATTGTAGGTTGTAAATAGGTATAGACGAATAAATTATTAACATTTAAATGTTTATTATGTACATATTATAATATTGTACTTATTGTACCTATTACAAACCCATAGCCAATCATAACTCCAACTTAAAGCTTATATAAACGTAATTTTAAACAAAGTACGTAATTGTTAACTTTTGTGAACATATTATGTAATGGTTATTATTCAATATCAAAACTAATATATTATACATATAATATGTAGGTACTAAGTATATGGAAACATTACTTGGAATTCAGAATAATATTTCACTTCGGAAAGCCCTAATATCTCCATAACTCATTACCATAGATAAATGATCCTTAGTACACAAAGTTGTATAGAACTCAAAACTGCTCATTCAAATTTTGATCTTAAAAATTCTCAAAAAAAAAACTTTTGCTGAATAATTAAAAGTGAAAAATGGGAGTTTCTATTTGAAAAATAGAAGTTTGTATTGTCACAGGAGGATCCTTCAGTGATATGAATGTCTCAATCATTCGAAAATATGGTCTTCAAGTGTATTAAAAAATTCCTAAAATCAGAGTTAGAATGTACGCATAATTTAAGTATAAAAATAGGGTGAGTATGCTTAAAAACTCACGCTGTATTATAATGTGAATATTAATTATGGGAAAAACAATTTAAGGTTTCTAGCAAATCTCCAAGTGGTATCTCCCAGGTAATGCTATTAGACTGGACTAACCCAAACTAGTTTTCCTAAATAAATAGGCTTGGACCCAACTCATGTACACGATGAAATATTTTAGAACCCAACACATAAACTCGATAAAAATATAAAACGCGTTGCAGGGACCCGATCATGAAATTTTTTTTTAAAACTTGGTATCAGACTTGATGTTGTCCCTATAATTGTCTAGACTGAAACCGTTTTAAACCTGCTTGTTTTAAATATAACTGGAAATATTACATAACATGTGTCAACTATTTCATATTATCTGTACAGGGACGCAGATGGGGATAATGCGTACAGATTGACATTGCAAACCCGGGAACAGCACATACGTCGTGAACGGGCGACCAGCAACATTTGTACTGCCCAAGCTCTGCTAGCAAATGTCGTAGCTATGTATGCAGTCTATCACGGTCCCGTAGGACTGAGAAATATTGCCCAGAGAGTGCACAACTGTACAGTGATACTTAAGACAGCGCTTGACGAAATACCAGGATGCAGTACGAGCGACGGCATTTTTTTCGATACCTTGCACTTGAAGAGCACGATTCCTCAACAGGAGATAATCGAAAAGTGTAAAGAAAAACTGATCAACCTGAGGTTTTTCGATGACCAATCTGTGAGGAGTATACCTTTATCTACGTTTTAATATACCTAGTTCTATGCAAATGCTACGGATTTTATTTTAATTCGGTATTTTTCGTGTTGTAGATAGGTATATCGCTGGACGAGACGGTAACTGCCGCAGACTTAAACGACTTGTTATGGATTTTTGGATCCGAAAAAAGTATAAATGAAGTAAGTATACTTTTTATAATAGGTATTCATATATAATTGTGTAAATATATAAGCATATGGTTGTGCATTCAAATATTCAATAATATATTAAAACGAATTGGTTCTAGATTATATCTAATGATGAGCTTTTAGAAAAAAGTGTAAGTAAAACAATATTTAAGAGGACCTCGCAGTATTTACAACATTCAGTATTTAACAATCATCAATCAGAAACAAAAATTGTTCGATACATGAAACAATTGGAAAATAAAGACGTTTCACTTGTCCACTCCATGATTCCATTAGTGAGTAAAGTTATTGATTGGAAAATATATAGAAATTAATTTAATTTAATTATTTTAGGGATCATGCACTATGAAATTGAATGCTACCGTCGAACTGTTACCGCTTTCGGAACCTGGATTCATTAACATTCATCCATTTGTACCACCTGATCAAGTCCCAGGATACAATCAAATTTTACAAGAATTAGAATACGATCTCTGTCAGCTTACTGGTTATGACAAAATATCTTTTCAGCCCAATAGGTATACCTCCAATCTGCACGCATAAATAATATTTTAAATACTTTTATGAATTTCTAAAACACACTCTTAGCGGCTCTCAAGGAGAATTCGCCGGTCTTTGCGCCATAATGAAATATCATCAACACCGCGGGGACGAAGACAGAAAAGTGTGTCTAATTCCCACGTCAGCACATGGTACAAATCCAGCATCAGCACAAATGGCTGGAATGGATATTCAGTTGGTGAATGTGTCCAAAGATGGTTGCATTGATCTACAACACCTCAAAGATAAGGTACCTATACCTTAATATAGGTACTTCACATAAATTATGGCTATCATATCTATCTCATATTATTTTTATACCTTTATAGTACCTATAGGCTATATTATAGTAGGTACCTACTATATAAAATATTACAAATTTGTTCTGTTTTTTAATTACTTATGTAGGTTAATAAATATAAAAATCAATTATCATGTATAATGATAACATATCCGTCTACTAATGGAGTATTTGAAGAATCTGTTATGGACGTATGTGAATTAATACATTCAAATGGTGGACAAGTAATTAAAATATAATGATTTTGAGGCGATAAATATATAAAACTTAACTGATAATTCAAAATTAAGGTTTATTTGGATGGAGCTAACATGAATGCACAAGTTGGATTGTGTCGACCTGGTGATATTGGAGCAGACGTATCTCATTTGAATTTACATAAGACATTCTGTATACCTCATGGAGGCGGAGGTCCTGGAATGGGGCCAATAGTTGTGTAAGGAATTAATAGTAATATATATATTTATAGTTGATATAAATTTATAATTTAATGTAATATTACTTGTTGCTTAGTAAATCACACTTGGCTCCATATCTGCCAACTCACCCAATTATTCACAATGATAATGATTTAAGTTTGGGTACTGTTAGTGCTGCTCCTTACGGATCAGCTTCTATCATACCCATTTCCTGGGCATACATAAAAGTAATTAGTATTTTAATTCTATAAAACATATATTATTTATAATACATTTATATAGTTAATGGGCCCTCAAGGACTCAGGAAAGCAACTCAAGTAGCTATATTAAATGCCAATTATATGAGTAAAAAATTAAGTACTCACTACAAAACATTATTTGTTGGTACTAAATGTGGATTAGTAGCTCATGAATTCATAATTGACTCCAGAGAATTTAAAAAAACTGCAAATATTGAAGCTACCGATATTGCTAAGCGATTAATAGATTACGGTCTGTACATATAGATATAATTTATAAAAGTATAAATATAATAGATTGTGATTATTTCTTAGGATTTCATGCTCCTACTATGTCTTGGCCGGTTGCTGGTACATTGATGATAGAACCTACAGAATCTGAAAGTAAAATTGAATTAGATAGATTCTGTAATGCTTTAATCAGTGAGTAAATTAATTAATTAATTAAATTATTTTGGTGAAAATTAATAATTTTTTTCTTTTTATAATTCCTACTTATATAATTCATATTCAAGGTATAAGGGAAGAAATCAGACAAATAGAGAATGGTGTAGCTGATCGGGAACAGAATGTCTTAAAATTAGCACCACATACATTGAAACAAATTTGTAGTGATGAATGGAATAGACCATATTCTAGAAAATTGGCAGCTTATCCAATGGTAGTACAATTTTAAAATCTATATTAGAAAAACATAACATCCACTTAATATTTAATATTTTTTTATTAGGGATACGAGCAAAAAGTATGGCCAAGTGTAGGTCGCATCGACAGTAAATATGGAGATCAAAATGTAGTTTGCAGTTGCCCATTAGTATTTTAAACTTTATAAATACTACAATAATATTCAGAGAAACCAAAAACATGAGAACAAAAAATGTATTTTATACATTATTTTAAATACAAACTTAATAGCTATGATTTTTAAAACACAATACCTACCTATGTATAAACTATTGTCTATTCCTAAGTATTATTTATATTTTATGTAAAGTAGGTAATTATAATCTTTCCTTCTATTGCTGAACACCTGCAAAAACAAATCAAATGCACATCAATAAATTAATAATTTAAGTGTAACATTATTACATTAAAATATAGTAATGTGCAATGATAATAACAAATGTTTATATATGGTACAAACCTATAGACATTCCTATTAGACCTATTCATGTTTTATTCTATCGATATGCCATAATAATTAATAATATGTACTATATAGTAGAGGATTTAAGGGTTCAAATGTATCAGTAACATACTTATGAAATTGTAGTTTTTATTAACCTTATCTAATATCTATCTATCTATATATAATTTAAGTGGGTCCCAGTATCCATATTAGGAGAACCGTCACATTGTTAAAATGGATTAAAAAAACCAGTAGGTAAAAATAGTAGCTATATAACTATACAATTTTTGCATTTTTAAATTCAAGTAATTCAACACTGTTCTAATAATAACTATTACTATATTATTATATTTATTATTGTTCCTCATAAGATTAACATCCAACATCCAGTCAAAATGTCTCCTCGTGATTGCCAATGTTTCTTTTCTATACCTCCTGCACTCTCCAACCAGTCCAAATATTCACTCCAACAAGAGTGTAAGACATCTCAAAATTCTGGGGGGCTAACCTAATAAAACTATTAATTTAAAAAAACCCAGAGGCGGCTTTTATCCAAATCATTAAGGAATATTTTTGGGGCTAAGCACCCCCTGATTGTGCTACTGGAAATATAAAAACATAGCGTTTTTATTCCCGTCTCCAAAATCTGCTAGTTCCCGAATTATCATCTGCCACTACCTTAAAAAAATTGGGACAACTGTCCATTCTTAGGACAAGCAGGGTCCACACAATTCACGGGCCTAAAATTGTAGATTCATTTAGACAAAAAAAAGAATTAATTAATTACAATACAGACTAAAAATTAAAATACTGGTAATTATTTGTACAAGTATAATTTATTAATATATAATAAAAAAGTTAAAGAAATAATTGGGCCGTGCCCTCCCCTCTACCGCTTTAGATGAAGTATGTTATAAGAACACTTAACTATTTAAATCACAGGACACATTGAAAATATCAAAATAATAATCCTGATTTGATATTTAAAATTCTTATTCCATTGGTTTACAAAACAAAAATCTATGTTAAAGATACATTTTATCATCTAAAAGACATGCTATTATAAACATTTGATCAAATTTTAAGTATCTAAGGTATTTTGTTTTTTGAAGTACAAACAAAATATGAAAATCAATTTAGTTGGAATGATTTTGTAGTAAAAATTCCAGGTTTTCCTTAAATTTGTTTTTTTTTTTTTATTATTTTGAAAATTACTGGACATTTTGAACACTCAAAGAACAAAATTCATCCAATTTTCTACCAGAAACGACCCTCTTAAGTTGAAAATCAAAGCATTTTTACTGCTCCAAAAGGTATCCACACAAAAAATAAGCATTGTAAAACAAATCTCTCTGCAAAAGACCATTTTTTGTCCAAAAGACAAAATGTGATCATACAATTTATTTTATTAAGTTATTATTGAAATAATACCTTTCTTGAATGTTTAAATTAATTTATTAGGTTTTTTTTTACTTAGTTAGTTGTATATCTTAATAAAAATGAAAATTAAATAATAAGTAAGTGTTCAGACATAAATGTTTTGTATTTCTTATTCCTTTTAGATATCTACAATTCTTATAACTGAGATATTAACAATCTTCTATTTTTCTTATAAATTACTATCTAGTATAACACGTTAAATTTAATTTTTAATACCAGCTCTTCTTGTTAAATATTTAGGAATATAAACAATTTATTTTAAAAGTTGATATTTGCTAACCTATTCAATAAAGAATAACAATATGTAATTTGTTTAGTAATACAAATTTATTTTATTTAAATTAAAAAATTCAATTTATAATAATTTTAATAGTTATAATAATATGAAACATGTCAATCTTTTTAATTGAATGTATGACAATAATGTTGGCCAGCCAAATTTTCACAACCTCTATTCTAAGCTGCCAATTTGTTGTATTAATTACAAAAATGTTGCATGACTAGATGTAAAAAACTAAATAATAGAGATTCACGTACTTTGTTCTTATATAAAATTATTTTTGAGCAAAATAATAGATAAAAAAAAAAATCTACAATAAGCCTAATGTTAATAGTGCAATGAACAAAATAAAAATTAATGATAATTAATTAATTTAAAATATAAAAAGGCACTACATTGTCATCCGAGGAAGACTGTTTATTAATTTTGTACTGTTTATAGTATTATAGTCATGCGTGGCAATGGAAAAGTAAAATGCTTATATTTTCAAAAGTATAAAATTAACCGTTTAAACATATCTTTGGTAAACAACAATATTTAACTAAATGGCACCGATTTTGGTCTTGGTTTTAAAGCTAACACATAAAATCATGCCAAATAGATTTGAATATATGATTCGAAAATTAAAAAATTAAAAAATGAAGGATGAAGTGTCTGAACAACCCTTTTAAACTTTTATACAGAGGTAGGAATACAGCTGTTCTCGTCAGTCTGTCGTACTAAGCTATAGTGCATTTCCTTTGCTGGTGTTTGAGTGGTACTGGTCGTAAAACGGCTCTTACGGCTTCATCAAATACCTTTAGGATTCACAAGAATAATTTTAATATCGTAGAATATTTAGGTTCATCAGAAACCACAAATTATTTCACTTACCAGTTTTAATCCTCTTTGAGTCAATGCAGAACATTCGAGATATTTTACAGCTCTTATTTTATTGGCCAACTTTTGTCCCTGTTCACGTTTGATTGGGGACAGTCCTTGTTCAGACAAAACATTTAACGTTTCTTTGTCTTCTCTTAAATCTATTTTCGTACCAACTAAAATCATAGGGGCGTCTGGACAGTGATGTTTAATTTCCGGATACCATTTGGAAACCACATTTTCAAAAGAAGATGGACTAGCAACACTAAAGCAGACCAAAAATACGTCAGTCTGAAAAAAAAAAATATTAAAACAACAGTTGTGACAATCAATAAGCTAAATAACAAAAGTTAACCTGTGGATAGGAAAGTGGTCTTAGACGGTCGTAATCTTCTTGGCCAGCCGTATCCCATAGACCAAGGCTGACAGGAATACTGTCTACCACCATGGGTGCAGAGTAGTTATCAAATCTATTGAACGACAATCAATACTCAATAATATTGTTTAGCCTGTTGTTATTTTAATTGTCTAACGGTGAAATACTTACACAGTAGGTACGTATTCTCCTGGAAAGCTGTCGGTAGTATACGATATTAACATACAAGTCTTGCCCACTGTACCATCGCCGACCACCACACACTTGATTGGTCGTCCTGCTGACATATTTTGATTTGAATTATTTTTATTGAATTTTCTATGTTGTCTGTTCAAAATCCCAATGCACAATCTGTTTGTATATCGAACTGGAATAAATTATATACATTTAAAATTCCGATAACTCGCCGTATAGAAGAAAGCACTTAACAATACTTTTTATCGGCTTTACAGAAACTAAATACAACAGGCACGACCCATGTCAATTACTTTTAATTAGTTTAATGATTAGCAAATAAAAAAATAAATTAGAAAATTCACTGGCTATTATCATTTGTTGTTTTATTTATCAACATTGGTGGGCAGTTATCATTGTAGAATTGGCTATAATTGGTTGTTCGTTTGAGGTTACACAGATACAAATTTACTACGGCCCTATCACGGCTAAATACACACAGGCAGACATGGCCCTAGCAGCTGCAGCTGTTGTAAGTGTATTTATTATATTATTATAATACATTGCGAGACACTAAAAAACGAATTATTCTATAGATATAAATTTATTGATATAAATTATAATTGGTATTTATATTTGATATTATACAATATTACAGTGGAAGTGGACACCCCACTGTGACCACGTCCTACATAATAATATAATAATATAACATTAACCAGCGTCCAGCAATTATTTTCATGAAATCTGTGGTAAGAACCGAGAAAAAGAAGCACAATATTATTATACCGATTAGTTTATCCACCGCCTAATGCCCTAGTTTGTTTATTATATTGTGCTTCATCGAGTTTTAAATCAATAACCATAGGTACTTAAATAGATTTCTTGATTTAAAATATTATTTTCTAAAATATAAAAATTACATTCAATAAAAAAAAGTATTTTTATATTTTTGAGATTTTTTGGTTTCAGAATAACCTACTTACATTGAACTTTGTTTTAAATCTTCAATCCTTAGCTATGAAAGTTGAACATTTTATACATTTTTAACAACAAAATTATTTTAAAATTTAAAATTTGATAAATACTGTCAAAAATCAAACTTTCAATGCTTATAAAAAAAATTTGGGTCCATGTATTTTTAATATTTTTCAACTATTATTTTAAAAATATATATCAGGAGCATTGTATTATTTTTTCATACTTTTTGACTAAACAAATAAAATGTTACTGACATTTATAGAAAAAAAAACTAAAAAATGTTAAAATTTAAAACAGTTCTAAACGAGTTAAAATATTTTAAAAAATGTATGGTGTATAGAAAATGAAAATATAAATATGCAGTGAAATTTCCATGTATCTACAGTTATTTGTTTTTGAATTAGGTACAAAAAAATAAGAAAATGGCTTAATGAGAAATTGAGTGAATATCCAATGTAAAAATATGAACTTCAAACGCTCATAAAAATTTAATTTAACATGCTTGTAAGGATATTTTTTTTGATAAGGTAGACAAACTTATAAGAAATCTGTATTACATTTTCAAATCTGGATTTAAAAAGAAAAATTTTTATAAATTTCTAACTCAAAATAATTTACACATTTTCGTTATTTTTAATAAAAAATAATTGTGACTATGGATTTTTAATATTGTTTATCATTGTGACAATATATTAGGAGCTTTGTATCATTGTATTACATTTCATGCTCATTTAACCCAAAATAAAATTTTAAGTTATATTAGTAGGTGTCTAGTATAGCATATCACCTCGTATATTGAGTAGGTAAATCACTGTATAGTTTTGTTAAATTAAATTTTTTTTTTAGGAAATACGGTAGGTTGAACTAATTTTGACCAAAAATCAATGAGCATTCACATATAATATATTATATAATATTAACTAAAGCTTTACTAAGCCTGGATTAGATAAATTTTGTGCCCTGGGCCAAATAATAATAATATACGTATATTCATTATATCTATATATTATACTATTATAGGAAACTTACTACCCACCAGGGGCACACTATTGTTCAATATCTGTTGGCCACCCCCTGTCCCCCTAAATCATCGCTTCGATCTTACTAACTCATTTAATTCAATACCCATGTACTATAGAGCGATGGGAATAAGGTTTAAGTATAAATAGATTAAAATTTGTAATGTGACTATACTGACTTGAATCTATATTTTTTGTATTGACGCAATAGCAACCTAATTAAAAAAATTTTTACAAAATTCGAAAATTTCTCTTGGCTATAAATAGCTTAAAGAGCGACAAAATATATAACCATGTATGGAAAATTCAAAATTTTTAATATAAATATTTGTGGAAAATTTCAAGTTTCTACTGTTATAATATTTGACCCATTTTTGGTTCCTTAAAAAATAAAATTGATTTTCCTTGAAAATTTCTATTTGATTTTTCTTTTTCAAGGCCCTTTCAAAAAAAAACTGCCTGGAATTATCAATTTTGACCTCCCGATAGCATGAATTAGATTCATTTTTCTTTCAGAAAATATGCTGATGTCAAAAATTAGAGCATTGATAATTTACATATTTTCGTGATTTTTGTCAAATTTTGTAAAAGTTTTAATCTACAGGTAAAATATTTCCCATTTAGCAGTGGTACATTTAGGCATTATGTGCTCTCGGTCAATACTTTACTGCCCTCCACACTCTCTCGAAGAATGAGCATTACACGTCTATCTATATATAATTGATTATTATTTAGTAGGTACATATTAATTTATAGAAACTAGAAAGTACAATAAACGAGGAACCCCATAGAGTTATGTTGCTTTTACAGAAATTCAAAAATATAGAAAATACATCAGCTCATTTAAACATAAATATGTTTTTGGGCTGGATACAAGATTTTATGGTTCTGCCCGATTTTTCATAGAGTTTTCGTTGTCATGGATACTTATCAACAAAAACATATTTATGAGTCATACATTTTCCTTGTAAGTTGTAATATTCTACAGGCATTTAATCTAATTTTTCAATATTTTAATCTCAAACTTTATTATATATCTTCAAAAATAATACAGTTCTAACCTTTTTTTTACAAATTATATCATACCATTATTTCAAATAAAATTAAAGTTTTATGCGGCCTGTAGGAAGTCTTCTTCTTTCAGATAAAAACATATTTTGTTAGTAAAATCCGACAATTCTACAAGATCCCACCCCCACCCTCTGAATAGATACCGGGCAGTAGATTAATGGAAAAGTATACTAATTAAGGTGGCAACTAAAGTATAATTTTCAAGTTTTATAGAATTGGGAAAAATTTGAAAAACCAGTATCGGGCCCCAAAATAAATTACAATATAATTTATCACAAGGCGTTTTGGACGCAACCGAACGTACGGAGATCCGTCATTCGTGATATTAGCCGATAGTGACGTAAATTAATGGAAAGCTTAACCCTGGCAGGTTAACTGACAAAAGTGGTATTACGTTTCATTGGTCATGAAGTTGTACTTAAAGGCCCCTGCAAACCCTAATAATTTTTCACCAAAACGACCTGAGTGACTGACAAAAATTAAAGTACTTCTAGTCGTTCGATTTAAAAAATGTAAAAATGTTTTAATTTCTCAACAGGTCTACTTTGCATCGGTCGGAGCATATTTTTTATTTTTTAAATATTTTTGAATATATTCAATACAAAAAATTTATAAATTTATAAAATGTAAGATATTTAATCTCGTCAAGAATTTGCTAAAATTGAAAAAGTGCTCTGACCGATGCAAAGTAAACTTGTTTACCAACACAAACATCTTTACATTTTTTAAATCGAACCACTAGAAGTACCTTAGTTTTTGTCAGTGCGACGGCTATTTCAAGTCCATAAATTGGTTTTGAATATTTTGATCTAGACATATGACTTGTGCATGCATGCGACCATAAACCAGATAAGAAATAACAATGTATTGTAAATTGATGCGGTTCGCGAGTGATGTTAGGTGAGTATACACAAACTAATAATCATTTACTACACACATAAAGACGATCAGTAATTGCAGGAACGAAATAATGGTCTAAATACACAACTCCTTAAAAATGACACGTTTGCAGGGGCTTTGCAGCTTACTGAGACAAAAAAATTATAAGTAAACATTGACTAGGTGTCCCACAGTTTTTTCTCTCAGAATCTGTTATAATAATTTAGACATCACAAACAATTCTTTAAAATAAAATGTTAATTTCATACAAATGATTACTATAATACCACAGGATAACGTTATTCTGTGATAATACTATTTTATATTATAATCATAATATTGTCATATATTTGTAGTATGGTATACTCTATACTCAGATTTGAAAATTAAACAGTACACTGTGTACAGAATAATATTAATATTCAAATATACAATATTATGCAAATGTTTTTTTCAATAACCTAATAGGAAATATTACATATTTTGATAATTGTTTTTCTTATTAAAAAAAAAAACTGACTTATTATATTGTGTAATTTTATTTCATTATTCAATTTATTATTCATTTTTAAGAAAGTTAAATAAAATACAACACATTTTACAATTTAAAATTACATGTTAAATATAACAGGAGTAAATAACTAGTATGAAAATATAAATATTTATTAAATAATGAAAGCATAATAAGCTCACTATAAATTAGTATTTTGTTTTTTAAAAGACAAAATTTAAATTAAAAATAATTATTTATTTGTATATTAAATTTATGCATGGTAATTTTATAAGTTAATAAATAATACAAACACTTGATAAAGGAATGATATAATTCAGTTTGGTATTGATTGTGTATTTTTAAAAGTTGACATTTTTAATCAAGTGTAAATATTCTAGCAGATATATCGCTAACCATCCAGTTAATGCCTTCCAACAAGTTTTCCCCAGTATATGCACTACAATGTATTATTTTCCAATGGTGAGTTTTAATTCGATCTAATTGCAATACCTAAATTTAAACAAAATAACATAATATATATTATTACATATTGATCAATTATTTTACAAGTTTTTTGAGTTATACCTCTTTTATTTCTTCTGATGATAAAGCACCTGGTAAATCTTGTTTATTTGCAAATATCAATAATGTGGCTCCAGCCAATCTCTGAAAATATATTGTATATAAATCTGATAAATCTATAACTCATTCATATTTAAACATAGCTTATCATTGGTGAAGTCAAGAAAACATTATTGTAAAATGTTTGAAAAATATCATACAATATTTAATTTGTTTCTAATCAAGGGGTTTGGGTACCAACATTAATTTATTGTCTCTATCTTTCATACGTGTAACATAGTAAAAATTACTCATATAGCTTATATTAGAATGATTGATAGATTCTACAAATTCGGTGTCAAGTCTATGTGACATTGGTCAGACTACTTTATTGAATTTCTCTCAATAATTACCAACTTTTTGAAATTGTTATTTGTTATTGAAAAAGTAACTAAAATTAAATTTAAAGAATGACCAAATTGATCTCATATACACTTTATAGTTTATACTAATTTCATACTTGTTATTATAATCTTTATCGCTTTACTACATCACTCTTTCCAAACGAATAAAATTAATAGTTTTTACTTTTTACTATGTTTCGTGTTTGAAGAGTGAAGACAGAAACAACAAATATCAATACCCAATCCCGTCTATGGTAGGTACTAGGTATACTCTGTCCAGCAAGAGAACGTGCCAATTCTGAGCATCCTCCCACGTTACTATGCTATCAAAGCCGGTTCCCCTGGCAGGGTGTTGCGTGGGGGAACCAGTTTTGGTCGGTATGCAGTGCATTCTCTAGCTGGATAGACCATACATTGTTGTTTTTTCCATTTCCTGATTTGGGAGATGCTACCAAATTCCCCTGCTAAGCATGTTTACCCCTGTAACTTATATTTTAAAATACCTCTTCTTCAATTAAACTATGCAGTTCAGTAGTACAATCACTCAGTCTTCTTTTGTCAGCACTGTCAACAACCCATATAAGGCCATCAGTACTTTCAAAATAATTACGCCAATATGATCGCAATGACTTTTGACCACCAACATCCCACACATTCAGTTTATAACTGAAAAAAATGTAATGAATCTCTTGACAAAAAAAAAAAAAAGTAAAATTATATATATCATTTAAATACCTATAGAAATTTATTTTTTAGTAAAAACTAAGTCTTCATAATTCATAACACGAAGAGCTGTGGTGTACTGAGGAATATTGTGCCCCAGGAGTCAAGGTACACAATGAAATAACGTGCCATTTCCATTGAAATTTAACAGCATAGACTTAAAATGTGTCAAAAGAGTAGGTGACATAGTCAGGTAATCTTACACAATACTATAAATAACCCCTTAAAAAGTTATCAAATCTTAATGACCAAAACGAGTCTTGCTATAATTTGTTAATAAGACTTAAACTCTTCAAAATTTCTGGAAGCTACTAGTTGCGCCCTGCACTAAAATCTTCTCTTAAATTGTAGCCTAGATTTGTTTATCGTACGTAATGTTATATCCTACTAATGTTTGGGACACAAGTACACAACTAGTACGTAGCCACCATTTTACTTTTGACACCCACTTTATATGTTTCGTATTCATGAATATTTTTCTAATGAGCACATGTTAAATTACAAAAATAAAAATGTATTATTGGTATTAGATACTTTGAACATCGAGCACTAGTGCCCCTATATGGGACATACAGTTTGGCACCTGGGGCAATTGTCCTGTTAAATACACTACTGCAGAAAATTATACTAACGTTGCCCTTTCTAGAAGTTTGGGACTAAATAATTTAATAATACTAATATTTTAATAAATTACCTTTTATGATCTAATGTTTTAATGTTAAAACCCAATGTTGGTTCAATTGTATTGGTTGGCTCTCCGTTATATTTTTTTAATATAGTTGTTTTTCCAGCATTATCCAAACCTCTGATTAAGTAAGGATATTAAGAATAAATAAACAATATTTAACTTTTTAAATAATACATTATTTACAAAATTATAATTACTAGGTACTACCTATATCAATTATTATGATTAAGGTATGTATAAACAAAAAACTAGTTGTCTCCTTACATATTATTATTTAGTTATTTATGTAATAAGTATATTCAATATGTTCGTAAATTCAGTAAACACTGACATAAATAGTCATAGAAGGTAATTTAAAAATAATTAAAAATATTCATGTTTTTTGAATAAGGATACAAAATTAAGATTCTCATCTCTTTTTCCTTCTGTTTCATTTTCTTCAGAACTGTCATCAATCCCATTTTGTGCGAAAATATGAAATACGTTTATAGCTAAATATGTTTGAATATTAATCTATAATCTATATAATTCACAACTTTATTAATTTACACATACATACGTCACTTGTAATATTATTTATTAAGTTATTTTAAAGTTTGAAACCAAAGAATGAGAATTATTCAAAGTCTACAGGTCTATGATTATGCTTGTGCCTTGACTTGCCTATGGACATTTGGAAAATAGATTGAAGTGATTGTGCTGTGCCTGTGGCCCACAATCAAAGATAAATACCAAGGTGGATTGATATCAATCCACCTTGATAAATACTATCTTTAATCGTGCTTTAATCCGTACGGCGCTCACATGAACATTAGAGGATGTTGTTGTTCTCATGTTGTTCTCCTCTAATGTTCATGGGCGCTCACATACGGCTATCTAGATAATAAACATGATATAAATAATATTATCTATATCTGTGATAATAACCATGAAGTTATTCCCATGAATTAAGATATCTTAAATCGGGAGTTGTTACAAATTCGCTGGACAAATTCGCTAAACCGGTGTGAAAATAATGCACCGGAATGTTAGGATCATTTACAAAGTTCATTTACACGGTGAGGGATAATTTTAAACTGGTCTAGTTTAGCCATGTTTAGGGAATTTCTTTCAAAAAATTAGTGTTTGTTTTGACCACGGCTGGCCTCAAATAATATTTTTTTTTTATTGTTATCTATATTATTTTATATCTGTGATTTTGACAAGTGACAACTGACAACTGATATAATTGATAAGATTTGTATATTTCTGTTTTAAAAATTAATTGATATCAGTGGCTGTGAACTGTTGTTACTGTGTTAAATAAAAATTATAAAACTTTTAAAGTTTTAAAGGATAACATTTTTGTTCTAAGTGTCAATATTATATTTCGTTCACAAAGGCCTATAGGCTTTATATAAGTTATCGTATTTACGTAATTTTTTAAAATTATATGTCCGAAATTATTTGATTTATATTTTTCTGGTATGGACCGATTTGAATATGCTAAACCTGATCCAGCAGAGACCGTTCTATGGCGTCACAACAATATCACTTTGTATGATGGCAATTACAAAACTTCGTTTCACCGTGGTAATATTATCTTAACTGCCACTCATCTTTTCTGGATGTCTGGCGATGCGTGGTTGTCTTTACAGCTCCGGTACATAGTGTACATTGAATCTGCAGTTACTGACACCTTATTTGGTTCAAAAACTAAAACTATTCTTGTTCATTTATTACCCTCTGATAATACAAATCCAGGCCCTGTTTCTTGTGCCAAAGGCGAGTACATCAAACTTGATTTTAAGGACAAAATTCCTGATGGGTTTTTTGATGTATTTCAGAAAACTGTTGCGGAAAAAAAGTGGTCTGTTAGCAAGATTACCCGTCAAATTAGAACAGGAATCGGAGGGATCGAAAAAAATATTTATGAAAAACAAAAAGCGTCTGATATTAGTATTACAGATGCTTTTAAGGACTTAGACAGACTTATGATTACAGCTAAAGATATGGTATCATTAAGTAAAAACATTTCTGAAAAAATTAAAGAAAAACAAGGAGCTATTAGTGATGATGAAACTGTGCGCTTCAAGTCATACCTTTTAGGTCTTGGTGTGGATGACCCAGTTACTAGATCATCATTCACAGATTCAAATGCATATTATACCACACTTTGTAAAGAAATAATCAAAATTATTCAAGTTTCATTAGAAGAAGTTGGTGGTACAATGGCCCTTGCAGAGGTTTATTGTCGGGTAAATAGGGCTAGAGGACTAGATCTTTTATCACCCGAAGATTTAATGCATGCGTGTTACATGATGAATACTGATCAATCTTCACCTGTAAAACTAAGAAAGTTTGATAGCGGTGTATTAGCTTTACAATCATCTTTATGTGACGAGTCTGTTGTATTGAAAAAAACTGTTGAAGCATTACAAGAAAGTGGATCATTAAGTGCACAAGAACTATCAACGTTAATTGGAGTACCAGTTGTATTAGCTAAGGAGTATTTGTTATCTGCCGAAAAACATGGGAAGTCATGCCGAGATGAAAGTATTGAAGGTCTAAGATTTTATCTTAATAAATTTATAGATGAATACATGTAAAATAACAAATTAGAAATGTTGTTGATCAAGAACATTATATTTTTACTAAAACCCTATGCATATTATATTTTTTGATATTAAATACAATTAGTTTATAATTAAATATTTATATTCAATATGAACAACCTGATAATATGTAAAAAAAAAAAAAATGAGACTGTGCTTGTTAAAATATAAAATTATTAGAGAATAGTTATACCTAGTTAATAAATTATGATGTTTAGTATTTTAATATATTTTTATTAATTTTTGATTTAAGAGGACGCTATACCCGCATGTGTTGTCTCCGTCTTACAAATGTAGTTATAATTTTAAGTGTCATAAAGATAAATTATATTATATTACTGACTGTCTGACTTAATAAATAGTTATCAAATTTCAAAATATTTATTTGCTCACAAATTAAAATCATCAGATTATTTAAATAATAAATAGAAAAATGATTGTTATATATGAATGGATATTTTTTACTTTATTTTTGAGTATTTTTAAGCTATTTAATTCACTTATGTGTTACGAATTACGAACATTATGTTCAATGAACAATGGATTAGGAATTAGTGGATCAAAAATGTTTGCATAGGCATTGGTTGATAATTACCATGCTAGTGTTGCAGCTGGTACTCCATTTTATCTTACAGACTAAAGTATTAGTACCTAGCTGGTACTAGTATCAATAGTATCATATTGCTGAAACCTAATATTTATTAATTTGCCACCAACAAGTAATTGATCTATATTATTTTCATTTTTCATTATATAAGTTTTCTGAAATTATATATTATATACCTAATATAGTAATGGGAAAAGTGTTAAGTTACGTGACAGTATTATACATTCATTCCAAGACTTGTATTATTTATTAAAGCTTGTAAAGCCAACTAGTGAATATAAAACATAAATTTGGAATTATTATAAAAAAAACATTAAAAATCTAAAAGCAAATGGACGGAAAAGTACAACCAAAATTAATTTACTTTATTGTTTACAACTAGGTATATTATAATATATAAATATTTTTTTTTCATTGTTAGACTAAAAGTAATGAAGTTTTATACTCGCCGAGTCGATGGTGTAAACGAATGGATCCAGATATAGTGGTCAATAAACATATTGAAATAGTTAAATTAAGTACGTAAAACTAAGCACTAAATAAATAAAAAAATAAACAACTCATATATTTTTGTAAAAACAGATATTTATGTAACTTACCTCAAATATTTTTAGTTAGCGAACAAATTAAGAAATCCAGATATTGTAAAGCAACAAATATAAGATATGGATCTGGTGACCAACAGCTGTTAGACGTTTATGAAGATGGACTGATTTCTTCGGATTGTACTTTTGTTTATATTCATGGAGGATATTGGCAAGAATTAAACAAAGACATTTCTGCCTATTGTGTAGAACCATTAGTAAATGCTGGGATTCGAGTGGTTGTACCTGGTTACGATCTCGCACCAAAAGGTACATTTTATTATGCTGTCACTTATGTTGGTTTTAAAATAAAAGTAGGTAAAATAGTAACCGCCCTGCTGTGCTTTGTCAAGTGTACTTTGTCATGGTAATGACACAAGTAAGTTACTGTAATAGAAGTGTCAAATTTGAATTCAACGATAAATCATGAAAAACCATTCTATGCTAAGACAGTCTTTATTACTAAGTATAATTTGAGATATATTTTTATTGATATTATAGTAATTTATTTTAATATGAAAGGTTGAATTAATTTTAACCAAAAATATAGCATTTATTATATTATACTTATATCAGTTATATCATATTATATTATTTAAATTGAAAATTAAAAATACCTACTATACACTAAAAAAATTGTGTCAATACTTTATAGTTAATGTAGAAATTCGCTAGACTAAACCAGTGTGAAAAAAATAATGCACAAGGATGTTTGGACCCTATCATTTACATGGTTCATTATCTCGGTGCGGGATAATGTGGGATAATTTTATACCAGTTTAGTCTAGCAAATTTCTAGAATGTGTTTGAATATTCAGTGAACATCATAAGTTTTTACAGTTATTTGTTTTTGAATTGCAACAAAATAAGAAAATCAATTTTGTGTAAAAACTAAAAATGCTAGTTTTTCTATAATTTCTTTTTTTTTGCTTTTCTCTGTTATTTTGAAAAATACTGATTTTTTTTTTATTTTGACCACCCCCCATCCCCTAAAGTACCGGATAGATCCAATTTGCTAGCAAAACACCACCCCCAAAGTTATAACAGGAAGCATTTTTAACATTCCAAGTGGTGATGACACACAAAAATAAATCTCATTATAAAATGAATACATTTATTGCACTGCTCAGATTCAGTTCAGGTAGAATCTAAAGATCTGAAATCAGCTACTAATCTAATGTTGTACCTAAATCATATTTTTTTTTTTTAGTAACTATTTTTAATATAGTTGAAGAAATCCATCAAATGTTATCATATTTAAAGGATTCTTTAAAATATAAGTAAGAAAACCTAATTATATTGCACTGGCTTACGTTTTAAACACGATTAATGATATAAATAGGTATTCTTTAATACTCGTGGTTTTAAATTATGCACATTTTAAATATTGTAGTATAATTATTGATCTAACTACTAGTAGGAAGTAATTTAAATTAGATTAATTGTTTTATTATTTTAATATAGTTATATAACATAATACATAATAAACATACATTTTTTTTTGCAATTAGAAATATTTGGTTGGGAGGACATTCAGCAGGTGCTCATTTAGCTGCATCTATGATACATCCTGAAGTAAATGAAAACATTGGCGTTAAAGGATTTATACTCATCAGCGGTATATTTGATCTTAATCCATTATTGGAGACTTCTATAAATAAACCACTGAAGTTGAACAAGTATTACAAATATTTTTTTAAATTTAAATGAGTAGTACCTACGCTCATAAATACATAATTTGTAATTTACGGTATAAAATAAACAATTTTGTGTTATTAGTTATTCCAATAATATATATTAATCCTGGCACTTGGACGCTATCTCAATAAATAATATTATTTGAATAATTAGAAACCAATTTTGTTGTATATAATCATATTTCAAGAGTATATTTGTTTTCAGGAACACTTGTCTAGAACTAAGTCCACTGAATAATCTATATGGACTTGATTTTACACATATAACGGCTCAGAATTGTTTAAAAATTCTTGTAGTTTATGGCGAAAATGATTCTCCAGCTTTCCATTTCCAATCAAAACAGTTTGCCAAAGTAAGTTATTTTTATTTTACTCTTTGCTATAGTATCATTTACTAATTGTTACATTTTTATTTTAATACTAGCTAGTGTTTAGTATAATAAACAAATTAAAATTACCTATACCGGCTATACCTACATATTATTTATTTTATAATTTGAGAGTAGGTAGAAACTGCCCTACTGCTAAAAGTAAAAACATACCTAATAATAACTTAAGTAAATACTAAATAAAAATAAACTAGTAAAGTGTATGATACTATTGATACTGCATGTCCACGAACTAGTATATAACATTGATAGGTATCTATATTTTTTTTATGTATTATAGTTTCTGGAAAAACTTGGTTTGGATGTAACAGAAGAAAGAATAAATGGAGTAGATCATTTTGACATTGTAGAGAATCTTTCAAGCATACACTATTCTCTTACAAAAAGAATTATTAATTTTATTCTTAACTGAACGTTGCCATTCAGGAAATTAGTATTATTATTTATTATATATTATGTACCCAAAACCTAAATGTACATTGTATAACTTATATATAAATATATTATACTCATAATATAGTGAATTCAGCCTAATGTAGGTACCGGTTATTATGGTCAATATGGACAAAATGGTCTGGTCCTAATTCCAATGTATACTAACTAATTTCAGTTTTTACAACCGCTTAATGTGGGCAAATAAGTTTGGTCCCGAACATTAAGCAAAATTCACTGTACTCAAAAATCTAAAATAATGTGCCTGTATAAGACATAAAGATGTATCAATATTCAATATTATATATTACCTATGTACTTAATTTATATGATAGTTTAATCCAAAAAATGTATATTGTAGTCATAATGTAAGTAGGTAGGTATAGTATTAATACCTATAAAATGATAATACATTAATACTTATGGCACAGAATAGATGAAATTTCATCTATTCTGTGCTTATGGTACCTATTTTACTTTTTAATTAAATATTTGTTAATAATTTTAAATTGTGTTTACTATTTAATTATTATTTTAAAACTATAACTAAACCCACAGATACTGAGCCAAATATGTAGACATATGTGTGGGGTACTGGGGTACCTACCCTATGGCCTATACCTAATGCATTTAATACCTAAACAGAATACTGCTTTATATATTCATTGATTAAATATACAGTAAGTATATATTTTAATTATAATGGTATAAGTATTGCTAACCATGTTAAAATTCAAAAGTAAAAAATAATTTAATCGGAGGTTGTCACTATCAGTAATGAAGGTAGGTACTAGCAAATACTATATACGATCGTATATAGTATTTGGTACTAGGTACCTACTTGAAACCAGTGTAGTAAAAAAACCATTTTAAATACTATTTGTATAAATATAATCAGGCACGTATAAAGAGGGTGATTGGGGGTTCAATCCCTCCCCCTAATTTTTTTTTGTATATGTGCCTGAATATTATAATGATCACACATTTTTATATTGTTGACACAACAGATGGTCGTCGACACTCAATGTGTCACTTGGAAAAAATGTTCAGATGTGTCAGCAATTTGAAGTGTCTGCGTTACCTACCGTAAAAGTTTAACTAAATTTAAAAAATGTTTTGTCATAAGATAATTAATAAAATATAAAGTAATAACGACAAAATTATTGTCACCAAAGTGAGTAAGTGACTCCGCCAAAGTATTAAACAAACACTTGGGTATATTATTACCTACCTATTAAAGATTAAACCCATATTATAATAGTATACTATTATGCTATTATACTTAATATTATAAAATTGCTTATGTATTATATTTTTTAAGCAATTAAGTGAACAAAAAAAAAGTAGATACATAGAAATGAAAAAGTTATTTTATTTAATGCATAAAAAAATAAATAAAAACTTACAGTTTACAAAATTCTCAAATAATTCAAATATATAGGTGTGTTTTTCAATTAAATTTCACAACAATACAATGCGTCATATTATTATACTATATAACTTAAGAAGTGATTAAATAATAATTTATAAATATGAAAAAAAAAAAATAAGACAATAAGTGCAATGTGTTTAAGCTGTGATTAGAATGTAGAAGCATTGTACACTAAATTTTGTAAATTATAACACACGTGTATTTGTATGTTAATATAAAATAAAAACATTATGGTGATGATAGTTGTGCACATAATTTCTATACCTATTTATTACTATAAATATTTGTGTACATAAAATCAATTAAAATTAATAATAAAAAAAACCATATGACTAGGGAACGTCATATTTACTTATTTTTATACTTCCAGTAATGTGATCTAGTATTACCGACAACTTTGGGGACTTGCGTATATTCTGAAATATATAAAATAATTCAATTAATGATCATGGTGGCATATTGTAATCAGAAAAGTCAGGTGGAAAATTTAAATGATGTATATATTACTTTGTATTAATGTATTATTAGATAATAAACCTACTGGCTACTGATCTAATATTTTGATAGGTAATTAATATAAGTATAGTATTTTAAATATTTTCATCATTCGACTTTGGTAACTACCTATTTTGGTAAATAATACGATAGATAAAAAGGCCAAAAGCACAAACACCGATATCTACCAAACTGTGTGAAATGCAATATTTTAGAGTTTAGGTACTGATTTTAAAATGGTTTTTCTGATCGACATATACAGGTCCAAGAATATCTACTCAAGAATACTCATCCCTTTTTTTCTACAATAATACAGTTTTCAAAATCTGATTTTAGAATTTTTAGTTACGGAATGATTCAAGTATTCTATTTATAGTACACTATTTCTGAAAATATTTCATTCAATTAATTTTTGGTCGTTACAAAACAACATTTTTACTATTTTATCGTTACATATTTTTTTCGTGTTTTTTTTTTTGTTTTTCCAACTACCTACTTAAGATTATATAAAATATATATTTCAAAAACGTAGTACTTTTTGAAATAATGAATGCCTTATGTTAAATGAATCCCATATACTTAAAATCCATATTTTCAAATTCTTAAGAACTTTTTACTACTTAAGGAGTGATCTATGGAGATATAAACTTTTGTTTTTCAAATGATTAGCCCTTATCTTCTACTATAAATTATTGTGTATACATTTCCTGAATGTTTTAACTTATCGAAATTCAAATTAGAACTTGTAGTTTTTAAATTATTTAACGTTGTGTATTAAGGATAATTCATAGACACATGATAAATCAATAAATCATAATGAGTATAGAAGATATAACTATATAAGGGCTATGGACTATGGTTACTTGAAAATTGTATAATTAATATTAATTTATAAACTTTTATTGTACCTAATTTATTTGTCAAAATAGTTCAAGTGTCTACCTATAATTTAATATTGGATCTAATGTTACATATTATTATTTATAATTTTGTAAAACCATTGTTAAGGCCTATTATTCGTACTCCTTAGTCCTTAGTATAAATATAACTGAGTGGGTTATTAAGTTTGAGTAGTTTTAATACCTAACTTTATTTTTAATAAATGAGTGAGTATCAACTAAACCAGTGGCGTCGTATCAGTTTTTGAGAGGGGGCAACATTTTTGACCTGCCTATAATAAATCTGAAAAAAAAACTGATCGCTAACAATTACATATTATATTACAATTGCATTTTTATCTCCATACCAATGGCCTTCTTACATAATTTATATATTTATACTTACTAGTTACTATTACGGTTACCTATCTAAGATATGGTTACTAACATAGGCATAAATACCCCTTTTTTGAGAGATAACAATGACTAAATAATTAATACACATATTACCTATAAGCTACTATACGAAGGCCCAAAACAAAGGAGGAGGGGAATTATTGCCCACCCTGCCACCCACCAAATGACGCCACTGAACTAAACTCATTCTAATTTTGAATTAGGTTTCATCAAATTTTTCAAAAACTAAATAATTTACAGTAAAAGAGGAAGGTTATCATTTGAAAAACAGAAGCTTGTGTTGTCACAGGACGATGGAGCGGTTTTCATATTATATAGGTACCTAGTAAATGATTTGATGTGATTGATTTTTATATTGTTCGTGAACATTAGCGAATTTAATTAATATCCTCGGCAGTGTACAATATACCTACAATGGCTTATAGGTTAGGGGTTGGAAAATGGCAATTAGTTTTGAAGGTGGTCCCGGTGATATGAAAAAAAAAAATTCGAGGTCCAGAAAACCTTATTTTTTGTTTAGCAAGTTATTTTAGGTCTACATAGACTATAGTTTATAATAACAAAAAAAAAAAAATCAGCATTAAAGTGAAATGTTTTTGATGGTATAGTTATTTCCACTCTGCGGACCGGATTCGGATCATGAAAAGATTAAAAAATATTAAAATATAATTATTATTTACTTTAAATATATGTCGCACATTAACCCTTTGATGAGTCTATTATTTACTACTATATCACCCATAACAGTGGTCAGTGGTGCAACGCAGTTGCGTATCTAGGATTTTTTCAAGAGGGGATGTACAATTTTTAATAGACATTCAGTATACACATAATATTATATTATATTCACATTATTATATACAATATGTTGTAATAATATGTTGTATTGTGTAGAAAATTTGGTCAGTAGATACGCCGCTGGTGCAACGAGCGGGGGATATTGGGTGTACCTTATACTATAGTAACTATAAGACATTAGTACTTACTCCGGGAGCAGGTACCTGACATTTCGCGGGGCAGTGAATTTATTTTAAAGAAATAAAAAAATATTTTTTTTAAAGTTATGCCTTATGAGTTATGAGTTATGACATAAATAAAGGTACCTATATTTACGTCATCATAAGTAATATCTACCTAGGTACCTATTATATGATCGGGAGGAAAGACGTAAATTCACAGATAGCGGCTCATATTTAATATTATTATTTATTATTATTTTTGTGTACCTATATCATAAATAGTCACTAAATATCGAAATATTACAACCCGTCAAGGCATCAACTGCATATTACAACGTCATTCCTCCGTAGGACATTTAAATCAAATTACATAAATATATTATAAGAGTCAAAACTAATCAAATTGTTAATATTTACTCCATCGTATAAAAAATATTATGCATAATATATAAAACATTTTGATAAATTGCCCATACAGAAAGTTAAAATATAAAATTAAAATGTTTAGTTAATGAACTAATAAGTAATTATTACACATTTACACCATTTTCTCATATTTTGTCTTTTTGAGTTAAAAATTGGGTATAATAATTATTTTTCCAAATAAGTAGGTACTAATCTGGTACAAAGTTCTTTTAATTTTATTTCGGTCGTACCTATGCAGATAAGAAATATTTATAAAAAAATTATGTTTTATTTTAATAAGTATCTATATGACTATATACAGGGTGTCCCGTGAGGATTTACCTATTAGCCGTAGAGGGGGACTCGCCGCCCGGACAAAAACCGGTTTTTTGCC